AATCATGAAAAGGAAGATCGATATCTGAAGAGAGCCAAGTTTCACACAGAGCAAATGCATCACAATCATTATTGTGAACCAAAAACTTAAACGATTCTATCTTAGGAATAAGACTTCGACAATTCCACTGTAGAACAGTGATCAAATCCCCGACCTCGTTTGGAAAATTATCCATCGAAGGAGATGATTGCTGCAAGGAGGGGCCACTTCAATGTCAACTGCTTCAAGAGGGTTTTCACAGTAGGAAGCATTGCCAGAACAATGCTTTTCAGAGGATCAGAAATATCGAGGTAATTGAGGATACTGTCCACAATGTTATCAAATGAGAACAACCCAGATGAAGAAGGGGCTTGTGTTCTGAAAATTGGGGCATCGGGGGTTTTGGATGTCCCCGGGAGAGATGGAAAATCCTGGGTATAATCAGTTCTGCGGAATCCAGGAGGAGTAGATGTCTCCTTTTTTCCACCACTCCTTGATTTGGGCAAGCTGATTTGGGGTTCTTGATCTGCAACTTTCCGCGAACGGATGCGTTTTCGTTTCCGGGCAGAACCTTCCGGAAAACTGAAAGAAACTCCCTCCTCAGCCAAGTCAGAGCCAGACTCGTCATCTGACAAAAGAGCGAAGGGATTTGTTTCGTTGGTCGATGGCTTGGCTGTCTTAAGCATTTCTGCAAAAGACCGCCTGGAACGTTCTTTAAGAGAGCGCTCTAGTTTTTCCCCGCGTTGTTTATACACCGGACACGACGAGAGACCATGAGGAGGAGATCCTTTGCAATACACGCATTTTGGTGCCGTGACTGTGCAGGCGCCATCCTCGTGCTTCTCCCCGCATTTGGAACAGCGTGCCTTGCTGCCACAGTGAGAGGCCGTATGTCCCAACTGTTTGCAGTTTTGGCAGATCATGACCCGAGGAACAAACAAGCGCACAGGTAGCCGAAGTTTTCCCAACTCGATGTACTGAGGAAGGGCTGAACCAGAAAAGGTCACGCGAAACGAGTCTGTGGGGGTAAAACTCTTTTTACCCTCGCTGACAGATACTGAGCCCAGTTTTTGGACATCCAGTATCTTCACCGGGGGGAGCAAGGGGTTCTTGAAACGGCCAACCGCCTGCTTCTCCAAGATCTCGGGGGTCAGACTCGGTTCGGTGACCACACCTTCGATCTCCACATCACGAGCTGGTATGTAAACCCTGTACTCAATCGTAAAGAGCTGGAAGGCAGCAATCTCGTTAGCCTGCTTCAGGTTAGAAACGACAACACGAAGTTTATTATGCCTAACCTTCGTGATCTCGGTCACGGCCGAGTATCGCTTCGTCAGATCAGTGGAAATTTGCATCAAGTTCAAAGGTTTGTTTTTGGGCTGAAAGTAGACAACCCATGGCCCAGTCGAGTCATCTGGATAGGCTCGCGATCGGGGGCTTTTCTGAGACGAACCATGAATGACAGGACGTTTTCGTCTTTTCTTGCCATCGAGTGGCAAACTGGTGTCATCTTCCGACAAAATGTCCGTATCGTCTTCTGACGAGACGTCCATTTTGCCGTACTAGTGGGAGCGGTAAACGCTCTACCACTGAAACGATGCTTAAAACCACACAGACACAATAAACAGAAAAACTACAAACACAGAAACACAAAATTAAATTTAACTGATGGGCGAGAGAAAGAAACAGGAAAAAAAAAACTTATCTGCGATACTACTACCACCGAGTGATTACACAGCAGCAGCGGAGCGACGCGCAGCGTGGGTGACCTTCGATGCGCGTGTGCGGGCGATCTTTGTAGTGGTGTGCTTGTATGAGGCTCGGCACTCAGCTGGACACACGATGATGGATGACCGGTATAAATGCGGAGGCAGATGCTGACACTCGATGACGATGATCTGTGTGCAGGTATGCGTGATCACGCACCGATGAAGCGCAAATTGGTTTGCGAATATCCAATTGCAAGTGAACAATTTTCTTTCCGATGACGCCGAAAACCACTTTCTTCTCAGAAAAACTCACTTTCAGATAATTGTTTAGCCGGTAACTATGCCAGTAATCACTAAGCGAGAAAAAACTGATAATTTAAACCAACCGAATACCGAGAAAACTTCCGAAATACCGGAGCGCGAAACAAGTCGACTGTACTTCTTGCTAGGTCGCAGTGGGATGACTCGGTTACTTTTGACATAATGAAAAATTGCTATTGAGATCATATAAAATAGCAATAATCTCTGATCATCATCATCAACTGTCGTAGCTGAACGTTCTCCATAGAATATGGGTATTTTCGGAACTGGGATGACGTACAAAGATCGAAAATCGATTTTGAAGTCCAAGATGGTGGCCATCGATTCCACAAGAACTGTCATAATGATAATTTTGAAACATGGATGACGTGTACATGTTGAAAATTGATGACCGCCGCCATATGGAATCCATGATGGCGGCCATTGATTTTATAAAAAAAAAACTATACCTTACAATATGTCGGAAATCGATGACCGGCATTGATTACAGAAAAAACTTTCAAATATTCTACAAGATGGGTATTTTTGGAACCGAAATAACGTGTAGACAGTTTTTTTTTTCTTCGAAAACCAACCAATTTTTGACATCTAAACGTCATCCCGTTTCCAAAAATACCCATATTTTAGGGTATTTGACAGTTTTTCTTAAACCATTCTGGTTCCAAAAATACCCATATTGTAGGCTATTTGACCTCCAGAACAACTTTGCCGAAGACAACAAATTCCTAGAGTTGAGATACATCACAGACGGCGCTGGTGGTGTAGTGGTAAGCGTGACTGCTTTCTCACCTCAATGGGTCTGAGTTCAATCCCAGCCGAGGTCGGTGGGATTTTTCTAAGGCATAAAAATCTCTAGTCACGTCTTCCTTCGGAAGAGAAGTAAAGCCGTTGGTCCCGGCACATGCGTGTTGAATGGGTGCGATATTCTACGCAGGGGTGGAAGCTGCTTTCCTGCACATTCGATTGCCGTCAATGGATGGCAATCGATGTCCGTCGGTGATTGGCACTAGATTGCAGAACAGAGACCGGCGTTAAATAAAGGAATGAAGAAAAGAAGAAGAAAAAGAGATACATTACACAGTGATTGTTATCATATCAGTGGATTATCGTTTTTGTTGCAGATCATTATGTGTAACACAAATCAGATGTACACTGATCATGATTCTGTTTACTAGTGTTTTTATAGTCGGTAAGCATCGGAAGATAGGATTTTCTTGATTCCCTGCACTGTATTTCCCTCCAATTGTTTTACAGATATGTAAAAGATGGAACCAGCGGATCGACGAAGTGTTCTGAATAATGGGGTTCAAGTCAACAGATCCGTGTCTGTACATCTGACGTAGGGGAAACTCAATCACGTTCATCGTAATCTACACACTTAGCTTTTTTTTTGCCGATATTGGCACCACCGAGCAAGATCTCAGCAAAATTTATGTTTGTTAGCCGAGATCTCGGTGAAATCCCCGTTAACTGAATCTCGGCAAATTTTTCACTGAGACCTAGCAAAATAGATTGCCGAGCTGCTCGGTGGTGCCCATCTTGGTAAAAAATCTAAGTGTGTATGTTGACAACATGTGAATCGTCACCCAAACTGTCGAAGAATTTGCTGCAATTTTCCATGAGCTGCAGAAGAACTTCGAAGCTGCCAACCTTGGGGACGTGAAGCACTTTTTCGGGATCGAAGTCGAGTGAGATTCCAGTGGATTCAAGTTAAACCAACGAAACTGCATCTTCAAGCTCACTGAGAAGCATGGTGTGAAAGATGCTAAACCTTTCAAGATTCCTTTGGAACTGGACTACCTACAGTAGAACAATGAGGATAATCGATTGCCGTGCAACGCACCGTACCTCAGTATGATAGGTGGTCTGCTGTACGAGGCAGTTAATTCACGTCAGGACATAGTGATTAGCACATCGATTGAGGCACAGAAGTCGAGTTGTCCAACGCAACTGGATTGTCAGGAAGTGAAAAGGATGTTCAGGTACCTGAATACTGTGATAGTGATTGAATTAAGAATCGCTCGAAACACATTTAAACAATATATGTTTATGTTAGGGATTTGCAAGTCAATAAACTGATTAGAATAGAATGCTGTCAAACAAAAAATATGATTGCCGATATCATAACGATTCCCTTGCCACATTACAGAATTAGAACTTTGACAGAACAGTTAGGATTACTGCCGAATAAGATCGAGGAGGAGTGTTAGTATGTGACATCAATCAGTACCTACGTAGCAGTAGGCTATTGTATGAATTGTATAACGCATGCAATATATTATTATTCATTCTCCTTACAACCATCAAGCGAAGTAGTTCATTTTTTTTTTATTACTGCGCATTGGTCCTAAAAACTGCAGTTTTTCTAATTTATGTTGCCAGAGGAGCAGAAAGAAAACAGACCACATGAGATGTTTCGAATTTAAAAATTCTAAGTTTTTCATAGAAGTGAGCGGTAATTGGTACATGCACTATTCTGCCGCTAATCGCATAACAGTCCCATGTCCTGTAGATTACCTATTTACGTATTTATTTATTTATTCGTCAATCAATCAAATCGAAGACTACATATTAACATTAGGACTTAAGTTCTATGACTTCGCAGGGTTCTGAAATATATTTTTAGTTCTGTTGAGGATATATTTAGGTCAATTTTTAATTTCACAATGATAATTATAAACAGTCATCATCTGATTTACCGGTCCAAATTTAGCATAATTGGTACTATGGCGATCTACCGTGAACAAGTGTCGATTGCGATCCGTTTGCATTGCGTTGACGTAAATTTGACAGACTTTGCCGCAACGCGTCCGATCCGGATCTAATGTGCGTGGGCCTTAATTGTCGGGAATTTAATCCTGACAACATAAGACTGTTATGCGGCACTATTGCTGTATTCAATCTACGTTTTGACATTTTTTAGTATTTGTTTTTGTTCTTATTCCTACCTTTTGTAACATAATTATGTAAAATAATATATTATTCACTTACTTTTATAAAATGATTGATTATTTCGGCTCGTTCTTTCGGCGATATTCCATTCAAAACTTCCTGAACAGTCCAAAAGATAGTATGGTTGAATCGCTTGGTAAACGCCACAATATTCGGAGAGAGTTCTATTTTGTTTTTCTTATTCCATGCGCAACTGGTTAGTTCGTCTGATTGAATTGCTTTAAATACGGGGAAATCCAACAGTGTTATTTGATTGGCTAACTCTTCTGGTGAAATTCGCAAACAACTTAACTCGGTGTTAACGATTGATGCGTTAGGAGGTAGACTTTGGGATTTACTTATAGAAGTTGGACATCGTCTGAAAAAAAAAACATTTAAAAATTCATAGCTTAACATTAGTATCCAAAAATATGGATTTCAGATTCATCTATATATATAAAATTGAATTTCTGTCTGTCTGACCCTTATAGACTCGGAAACTACTGAACCGATTGGCGTGAAAATTTGTATACAGGGGTTTTTGGGGCAGTGGAAGGTTCTCATGATGGTTCGAGACCCCTCCCCCTTCTGTAAGGGGGGGCTCCCATACAAATGAAACAGAAATTTCTGCATAACTCGAGAACTAATCAAGCAAATGGAACCAAATTAGGCATGTGGGGGTGAGTGTGGGGGTATAAGGAGATAATCATAGGGGGTAGCCCCTTAGATAATAGGGGGGGGGGCTACGTACAATATAGCATGTTTTTAAATCGGCGCATAAACTCAAGCTAATATTGAATCCCGAGCAAGACCGGGCGCACTCAGCTAGTAGTTCAAATAAATCCCTGAATGAAGCTAACTCGGTGTGAGATCGCAACAAAATGAGGTCACATTTTGTGAGAATGACCAGGACCTGATATAGAATCGATTGAAGCAATATAGATATTTTGAACCACCCTCTGGAATCAGTTTTACGCTTTTTTTTATCTACGCGGTTATCGAATTTTACGCGGCATGTATTATAACTATTTACCTACCCTCTTCAGATCATTCTCTAGCTAATAAATTATTACACTAAAGCTTCATGTTAGATAGTGTTCCAAATAGTGTTTCAACTCTTGACCGTTACATACGGTACTCGTTCTGCTCCATTCCTCGCTATACGTGTCCTGCAGCAGCTTGCGGAGGATGGACAAGATCGATTATTCGGTTATCCGCAAGGACGATGAAACTCTGAAACAATGATGATGAAAAAAAAAAACCATAGCATGATTGTAACCATGTGCAGCGCAGCTCTTATGCTGGTTGGAATCAAGGAAAGCATATTTCTACTGATTTCTGGGCCTCCATCAGTTTAGTCAGTAAAGGCGCAGCTACAAAGCAAGGCCATGATGGAGGTGGCTGGGTTCGATTCCCGGTCCGGTCTAGGAATTTTTCGGGTTGGAAAATTTCTCGTCCTCCCTTGGGATAGAGTATGATTGTATGCCACACAATTATACTAATGCAAAAATGGTACAGGCATCGAAAGCTCTCAATAAATAACTGTAGAAGTGTATCTAGAACACTAAGGTACGCAATCAGCTAATCGTCATCCATCCATCGTAGACGCAACCATCCAAGTGGTAAACGTCTGTCAACAAACTCGAATCTGATATGACACGACATGCTAATGTCTATTCTAGGGAATGATCACAAGCTAGTGCTAGTTTCCCCACAAGACAGAAACGTGGATGATAAAGGGAAGCCGGATTTTTTGGTGGGTGCGCTGATGTGTAAATAGTATAACGGTATAACTATGTAAAATTATTTAATACGTATATTTTTTTCATACCACATTGCCGTACATGAAACTGTACATTGTTTTTTTTCCTGAATATTAGAGCTCTGGTCCCTTTTTTTCTTCCGTTTCTAATAGTTGGGGTGATAAACAAATATGAAAAATTATATCTTGATTTTATGGTGATTTTAGTAACGCAATTCGTTTACCGCGTATTTTATAGCTATCAGCCAAATGGAAAGTGGGTGACTCAAATGCGATTGGCGAAGCGAATGGCGAGGAGTGTCTCATCGAATTCACTGAAAATATTCCTACGGACCCAGAGGATTCCAATGAGCTATTTGAATTAAATCATGCACCGGGCAATGCAGTTGAAACCAGTCCCAAAAGACATCCCGGCAAGCAAAATGTGGGAAGCCTGGAAGCGGTTCATTGAGACTTTTGAAATAACTGCTTCGCTCTCAAATATTTTTCTCTCTTTTGGAGAGCAAATGCAAGGCATTGTACGGGCCGCACAGCTGAGATCAAGTCTCGACGATCCTGGTTGAAACGAAAAATTCTTTGCAAACATCGACAATTACTTAAAATCGATGACAGATAAGGTGAGGCTATGCGGATATGGGGGCAATTACCAGATTCAGTTTGTACGTGCTCAGCTACTAAAGGGGATGAATAACCAAGAACTAGCCAAGACGGCCAGAATGTTTGGATACGACGCCAACTTTATTGTTCAATCGGCAACACGTTGCGAGGCCTACGAACCGGAGAGAGCTCCCCCCGAGGCTACGGAAGTTTCAGCGGTAAACCGAACTTAGAGAACATTCGAACAAGCATAGCCAGTTGATCATCGTGGAGGCGGTGGCTACGTGGGCAGACGTGGTCGATGCTCACGTTGCAATCATCTGGCTCACCATAACGAACAATGTCCAGGCTTAACCAGAAATTGCAAAACATGTGGCCAGCTGGGGCATTTTTCGGTGACCTGTAGCCGTCGACGTGTGAACCGCGTAGAGGAGGATAAACCAAGGGGTAGGTCACTCCGCACACCAATCTTTCGTCATCTTTTTCGTCAGTGTACTGCATGTGTGCCGCAGGTGTGCCGATGTTGCCGGTCATAGAGCAAGCTGCGATTGTTTGTAAAAATTCATCCCGGCAACCCGGTATTTCTGACACCTTGAATGTTTTGGTTTGAAATCGCAAGCATAAATCGGATTGAGGATGTCGCGGGAAGTGGTAGGTGTTCGAAATTTTGGTGTTTTGTGTTCATAGGATAATAAAAGTCCTGTGTTATAGGGTATTATAATGCCCTCAAAGGTAGACCAGAAGCCTAGCCTTTTGTGTTATGAAAAACAACGGTCTATCAGCGGCCGAACGGTGGGGAACATTTTTGGAGACCGACTATAGAGGATGATGAATATGACTTCGGTAGTTTGTTTAGTGTGAGTTGCAGCATTATTTGAATTAAGGTTACTAATGGGGTCTGATTAAGTCCTCTTGAGCTCACCCTAGAACCTACATTTCGTGTTTAGATCTATAAGTGAACTGCTGGTCTGAGCTCCTACGGAAATTCAACTAAAGGATGTTCCTGAACATACAGTCAAACAGCACGTAATGTTGTGCTAAATTTCAATGACAGTTGTCCAGCAGTACTCCCATTTTATTTGCAACAATCCAATGCCTACGAGATTGTGCCGAAGGCCCGCCGATGGATGTGCCCAAGCAGTGCCGAATCTAATTTCGGCATAATGTGCTGAGTGATAAACGCAGGGATAAACGCAGTAATAGCCGTGTCAACGAAGATGGTGGAAACGGAAAGGTATAAATTAAATCGTATTCTACTCTTAAAATTACTTCTTCACAAGTAAATTTGAGACATTAATTGAATTGAAGCGATTCCGAAATCGTATTCTACTCTTAAAATTACTTCTTCACAAGTAAATGTGTGATTCCGGACCGGGAATCGAACCCAGCCACCTCCATCATGGCCTTGCTTTGTAGCTGCGCCTTTACTGACTAAACTGATGGAGGCCCAGAAATCAGTAGAAATATGCTTTCCTTGATTCCAACGATTCGTCCTTGCGGATAACCGAATATTCGATCTTGTCCATCCTCCGCAAGCTGCTGCAGGACACGTATAGCGAGGAATGGAGCAGAACGGGTACCGTATGTAACGGTCAAGAGTTGTAACACTAATTGGAACACTATCTAACATGAAGCTTTAGTGTAATAATTTATTAGCTAGAGAATGATCTGAAGAGGGTAGGTAAATAGTTATAATGCCGCGTAAAATTCGATAACCGCGTAGATAAAAAAAAAGCGTAAAATTGATTCCAGATGGTGGTTCAAAATATCTATATTGCTTCAATCGATTCTATATCAGGTCCTGGTCATTCTCACAAAATGTGACCTCATTTGGTTGCGATCTCACACTGAGTTAGCTGCATTCAGGGATTTATTTGAACTATGAATCTGAAATCCATATTTTTGGATACTAATGTAAAGTGAGTTGGTGTATACATACATATACATATATAGGGTTTTAAACATTGTAATTACTAGGACAAGAACTTTCCGTCACTTCCAGGATCATCTAAAGCTCCAGATGTCCCAGTTTTTCGCTAGAAAATCAGCTGAATAATTAGCAAGAAGATGCCCCATGTTCACGTTTTCTGGTATTGTGGACCCGAAAAAAAAAAATAATTATAATAAAACAACGAAACTAGATTCAAACTTGTAGTTCAGTTAATGAGTAACGACTTTGCTGAAGATTGCATCATGAATCCAGTTAGATTTATTGAGAGATTCACTTTTGAATGTATATGAGCATTTTGTATATGAAAATTTCAACCACATCTTCTATATCAACATTAAACCAAAAGCGCCAGCCCGTGTAACATCAAAAAGAGCTGAAAAATTCAGAGAGTGGATATCACAGCATAAGACACGAATCTGAACTAACTTGAATCGTGATGCTATCTTCAGCAAAGTTGTTGCTTATATTTTAAGCTACGTATGCTGAAATTCTGAGCTCAATAGGGTTTGCTGAACCAGTTTTATGCACGAAAGAATGAAGGAATATTATTTCTCTATACATTTGAACAATACAATTTTAAATCAAATGCGCCAGCTCGTGTTATATACAAATGAGCTGAAATTTTCAAAGAGTGGTTTTCTCACCTAATGCACGAATCTAGAGGTTGGCCCGATGAAAATAATGAAAAAAAAATCCACTGTATAAATGTGGGCCAGTCTACTGCTGGGAGATTCACACCAATTCAGAATCCTCCCATTTGTGAAATTTTTGAAATTCGAAAATCAGTTCCTTTATTATTCATAATTAGGTTCCAGACAAGTTCACCCAACATTCAGAAACATTACTATCACAAGGTCATAACAATTTTAGAAATCAATGCACCTGACATCACAAATCTTCATGTTGCAGAACGATGGTGGCTAAGTGGTTTTCAACTGCAACTTACTTAAGTTTTGTTGTAATTTCGTTGTACTTTACGGGTTGTACAACGAAATTAATTTTTCAAAATGCTCGTTCTCAACATCGTCAGATCCGATTTTCATAAATTTGGATTTTTATTGAAAGAACA